CGATGCTCGTGCGTGAAGTCTGGTTTGCAATGTACTGACATTTGCGGTTGTTCTGACTGCAGTAACTACGCCTCTGAAGATGACGGCCCAATGAAAGAGCCGGATGAGTGCGATGATAGCGATTACGATGATGCCGACGATACAAATGAAAACTTCATAAACGATTTCAATGAAATGTTCTATTAAGAATGCACTGCTCAGCAGTGTGTACAGCAGGAGCTAGATGGCGACCAAAGGATTCTGAGTACGCAATCTCATGTGCCAATTTATTATCGTTATATTATTTACACAAAAAAGATGAAGGACTCCTTCGCAATTCAATTTCAAGAATTGTTTTTTCATTTTTTAGTCTTTTTGTCCATCAAGCAGCTATGGAAGATTAATAGCTAAACATATCATTTCAAATTAACTTAGAAAGATTGACCTTAATCATTATTTAGCACCGTTCTTTTGAATATGAGCCAGCAAATTTAGCGAATTTCACACAAAACAATATGGCGGATATAGAAAATAAATGTCGAATTTTTGATGGCTCTAGCTCTCTTGATTGCAAGTTTTCGGGATGTAAACAGGCAGATTTATGTTAAGTGAGTACATATTAGTACATCTATGTTGTTTTTACTTAGTCATGAATTTCTGCATCTCAACCTGAACAATAATCCACCATAGAATACGGCCTATACTCGTAAAACAATCCAAAAAACATAATGGTATTCAATGATGAAATTTTGGTAATTTGGAAAAAATAAAGTATGTCATAGGGCATCAGGTTTGATTGAAATTGAAATACTTTGCAACATCGACTGGAAGATGATCATACAAATCCCTCGTTTAGTTTTAATTAGTTCATGTAAATCTTCAATTAGAGTGTGCAGAGTTTTCATAGTTAATAATCAAAATGCACTTGATGAAGGGGTTCATTCTATTATACAGATTCCCCAAGCAAAATAAATTAATAAGTAGGGAAGAAGTTTCTGGAGGAAGCCGGGGTTGACCCCACCCCCACTAAAGAAATATCCTAAACTGGTGTGTACAGTAAATTATGATAAAATAGTATTAGATGCTAAGAAATTGTTTAGTAAGACTGAGCAAATATTGAAACATATCACACAGCGGCATATCCACGATTTTCTGTCAAGGGGGCCAGTCAAAAGGGAAGGGGCTGGGTACATATGTAAAACATAGCAATTTAGGGGAGTCAAGAATTTTGCCCGGGGGGAGGGTTGGCCCCAGCCCCCCTCTTGCTTTGCCACTGTTATCACAGCAAAGGCAATTACATATTTCATACTACCACCATAGTCAATTGAGTTACTACCATGCACATTTTCATTTAAACACAACTGTTGTGTTTGTTTTTCACTTGTCATTTGCAATATTTGGAAATTATGCCACGTTCACTCATCTGTAAGACTATAAATCTAAAATAGGACAAGTCCCTGACATCTTAAGGTAAAAAAGTGATGCATTATCTGAAATATTTGCACTGCTCCTGTCAAATGAGCATTGATACGCCACTGGTTTTAAGTACTACAAGAATAATGTAAGGTACATTCAGTATTGTTCTCAGTTCATCCTAAAAATAGAAGGTCTAACTACGTACTAATCAATACAATTCATTGTGTAGTTCATGTGTAAGGGTGATTGTGTACCATAAAGTGGCATAGCCGCAAATGACAAGTTTTGAATTTTTCCAGTCACACAGAAAACAAATCATACTAAAGATGTTTTGAATTTGCAAACAGCAGTTATTACTACTAAACAGTGTGCAAATTAGTTAAAAAAACGATGTGCAATTTTTTTTGACAAAAATGTTTCTTTGGAGGCATAATCAAATCAATATTAGGCTAATTATTATACAGCGCTACTTGCTAAATTTTTTATTTTACGACAGTGTTTTTCTTTACAACCGCTGATCCAGTTACAAATGTATGAGAGAAATTTTTTGCACATGTAATTCTATCCTCTTTTTTGTGCAAACTTTACAGCGCAATAAATTCACCTCTTGGCCATCATCCTAGTACTCAAGCGAGTCAGCATTTAATGTTTCCATCCAATTTTTTACTGTATTAACTTTGCTGGTGGCTACAACCTTTCGACAAGATGGCAAGAAAGACAAAGTGAAAAGAGAAACACCGAATATACTTTTGCCTTCTGATTATTAACAGTAACATCCTTGATGTTTACTTACAATAAAAAAACATCATGTTTATGTCATATTACAAGCAATATGTAAAAATAAAAAATATGGCTGCTCAAGGTTGCCAGTTTGGCTCAATATTTTTAGCCAAATTTGGCTTCTTTTTCTCACGTTAGGCTTATTTAAAATCGAAATTCCCTTTGGTTTATTTTTCAAAAATTTGGCTTATTTTGGCTTATTTAAGTTTTTTGTCTTCTTTTAAGAATCAAAATGAAACTGTTTCCTGATTTTATCGAAAATACTCAAAATAGCTATGATGCCAAAAACAGTACGTAACAGTGCACAAAGCAACGTAAATGCAAAAATTGACATTAATAATGTATTACACCCCTATTGTCATAAGCATATAAGCACCATGTATGTAGACTGTTGACAGACTTACCAGTCTCAAAGTGGCAACGTCTTTGAATTTGATGACATTGTGTCGACATGGACTAAGATTTTAATGTCATGCAGTGCACTCGTTTATAATGTAAAGATCAGTAAAGATAAGGCTTGAAAACTTTTTTATTTATGTGGTAATAATCAATAAAGAAGTTTTTTGCATATCAATTGTAAAAGTGATGTGCAATTGTTTTCATTTTAGCCACCGTTAATTCGCACACTGCTGCTAAACAATTGCTATGTAGATAATTCACAGAAAAAAAGAGCACAGCATTACAACATAGGCAGCACTGCTTGACAGTAACTGCTTCAAACACATGTAGATGGAAATAAATGTTACAGAAGACGGCCCAAGAGCAAAATACCATTTGACAATAAAATGACAAAGGCATTTTTCAACTTTGACATTGAGTCATTGACAATTTAAGATTTTATTTCAATTTTTTATTAGGCCATTAGAAAACATTGATATTACTGGAAAAATCCATAAAAAGCAGGTTATTGTTAGTAAGCTCTCATGAATGTAGATTATGTTGGACTGTTTCAAATAATGCATATTAAAGAAACCTGGACTAGTGCAATAGTTGATTTTTCTTTAGTTTGCTGTTCCAAACACAAGACAGCATTTACTGTCATCAGTATGACAAAACTTGTTGTTCAATTGCTGATACAGAGGCAGCAGAAACTTGATAATTATTCATGTATTCCGGTGCTATAATCAGTAATTACAATTCATTCCAAAAGAGAGCTAGCAAATATTAAAATGGACCTCCTCAATTATCGATCTTCCGACACAAGTGATAATTCACAATAAAACATATAAATTTAAGACAATGATTGTCACTTTGAATGAAGAAGTATACCAATTTATTCTCATTAAGTGAAGCTACCTGTCAATTTCATCGGCATAAAGAAGGTTATCAAAAACTCCAGAAGTTTGAGGCAGACAATTTTGCTGCGTATACAAACAATCCTGGTTTTCTAATACATTTTCTCATAGCGGGAATGTGAATCTGATGTAGATAAGGAGACCTCATGCTTTCCAACTTATTAGCCCATTATATGTGATTTATATCATTTACTATAATTGGTAAACTATCAAATTTGATATGCTGTTACAAATTGGAAACAACTTTAACAGCAAGATATTGATACGTTGACATACTATAGTCCACTTTTGAGAGTCTTTATGAGTGAGTAAAACATAAATTTAACTTTTAAGTAAGATATAATCACCCACTGTTTGGTCATTTGCCTACCGTGTACTAATTGAAATAAACTATGTGAAATGGGTATCAAATCTAAAGAAATAAACATTCAAAGATAATAAATCTCAAACTTGCCGAATTTTATTTCCCGTTCGCATTCGAACCCACTGAGGAATAGGACGATTTTGCTTCATCTTTTTCGCAAGCTTTCGCTTGATTTGGAATGACTTGTGTGAAGGCTACAATATACATGATAAAAATTAACGTAAATCAATCCATCCACACGCAATCTTACAGCAATCCCTTACAAAGCTACTTCATACAGCTAAAAATAACGATTTTCTTCCTTGTGAAGGGATCTTGCAATGTATTGGAAGCAATTTTACATACCATATTGTTCACGATATCCCGTCTACTTTATATGTTCAAGAGAAAAGGCAGGATAAAGTTTCAATTCCTTACAAGAAGCTTTAAAGTTCCTCGGATTTTGTTAAAATTCCCAAGTGTGTCATGTTGTTTTCCATTGAGCTAAATAAGACTGGAGCGCTAAGGCAGTGGGGTTGAAGCACTGATATGTATATTAGACTGGATAACGCATGTCTTGCGAAATTTGAAGCCGGAAGATCGATCATTTGCTACTGGCTTCATGGGGGGTATCGGTCTCACTTTACTATACTTTTGTATTACAAAATCACAGTTTTCGCGTTTTTATTTCTTTCACAAACTTCTGATTAAGGCAAAAATTTTGACATGTAGAGGAAAACCGGAAGAGAGTTTTAACCAGGAAGCTCTGTTTTTTTTGGCTTCGTAACGACTGAAAAATAAGATGGCAAGTTGTATTGAAATTTGAAAGTTGAAGGTGAAGAGGACAATTTTAGCCATGAGAGGCATTTTTAGAAGATGAATACTTAAATTACAAATTTACAACAAAATAAGAACAAAGGTATTCATATCTTCAACATATTCATCGATATTGAAGTTGTTCACATAGGAATTTGTTGAAAACCTTTTTTTCGCTTAATGACAACAGAGGTACTTCAATTCGCATATTTTGATAATGTGCATCTCGTAGAGTTTGATGATACCGTTTTCAACTTACTATTGTTCATCAAAATGTCTTTCTGATTATTTTTCTTTGTCGATTTGTTTTGTTTCTTCACTGATATAATAAAGACATAATTTGAAAATACTATGATATTAGCGATTTGAATAACAAAGTGTTGTTAATTAAGTAAATTTGTAGCAATCTTCCATAAACGTCATTGCAGATGAAATTTTAGTAGCAGTAGTAGGATTCTGTAATATTTCTCCATTTTTTAAGAAGCAGCAGCATCATATAATCTCTAGTTTGTTTCAAAACAATGTAGGTCGACCTTGTACCATCTCAATTTTCTGCCATTATAAAGCCAAGAAGACAAACTTTTTAGGATTAAATATTTTTGCCGGTTGTTTGTCCCTTTCACAAAAATTTTGCTCGAATCAAAAGTTTGTAGAACGAATAAAAACGCAAAAACTGTGATATTGTAATACAAAAGTATAATAAAGTGGGACACATCCCCTCCGTAGGTAATAATCTGATGAGCCAACTTCCGGCTTCAAATATCTTACCATTTTTTTTACATGGATGCGTTATTCAATGTAATATACATATCAGTGGGTTGAAGATTGTTGAAACATATAACATATAACGGTAGCTCCAAATTACGTATGCATTTCGATTCAACGTGCTGAAATTGCTCCATGTAGTCGGCCCCTAAGTGTTTTGTTGTAGAGGAAAAAATTCGTAGATTTCAACAACTCTTCAATGAAATTCGTCCAGCAAAATTTTGTTTCAAAATGCTATAGTAGTAACTACAGCATATTTCGTCTGCTTCCGAGTGTTTTCTTAAAATTAGTTCCTATTAATAATTGAAATTCATCGCATAAAAAAGAGGAAAATTTTCAATATGAACATAACAGCCAAACATAAAAAATTCGCAAATCTCTGGCCACGATTTTAAATAAACGCTACAAAAAAGGTAGAAAATGTTTTTATTTTTGGCTCCATAACTGTTTTATTTTTCATTCTATTAAAATAAGTCGAAAAATTTTTTAATTTTTTTCCATGAGGGAAACTTTTTTTCACTCGTTTCTTTGTTGGGATACATTGCATTTATTTTAAGTCATACATATACAAATGAACTAATCCATATTTTCGACGGTATTATTAGCTTATATATAGTATTGTACATGTAGAATAGTTGTAATAAAATAGAAAGAAGATGCTCTTGGAGAATTTGTAAATCTTATTTTAGAAATACAGAACGACTAATTATAAAGGCAGAAGGTGTTAGAGTAAATAAAAAGCATTTTCCGTCAAATCAAAAGAAAGCTTGCATGGATATGACATGCAATATGCAGAAACAAAGTTATAGAGAAAAGTTATAGATTTATGAGTTTCATATGCATTTGTCAAAAACAAGCTTAAAAAGACAAAGAGCATGCTGAAAATAAATGATTGAAAATTTGCTCAGCGCATCCACAAGCACTAATTTCATATCAATTTAGAATTATTCTGTGCATGCGTAGTCAACTTCAACAACTCTCTGAGTTCATGGTCATGGCAAAGACCAACTAGATGTACTGGTACCAATTATGGATTAATTAGCTTAATCAGTCACAAATTTTGAGATAAATCATCTGCGCATGCATAGTTTTCTTGAACATGCGGAGACCAGCTGCCCAAGTTCATAGTCATGGCTACGACCAACTGCATCTATACTATCACCGATTTTGAAAAAATAGCGTGCTTCGTAACAATTTAGTTGAGAAACTATTTGCGCATGAGCTCGAGCATATGTAGTCCACTCAATTACTTGTACATAGGGATGGCACCGACTAACTATATGTACTTGCACTACATTTGTAGCAATTAGCTCACTTAGTCGAAAATTATCAAAGAAATCATCTGGCCATACGTGGTAATGATTTTACTCATACCACAACTTTCGTAAGCCTTGTATTTATGTATATATATATACAAAGTTAATACTTCATATAGTAGCTCCACTAGCAGTGGAAGCTGGGTGCGACTAGGTTTGCAGTTTCTTAGGAGACAAGACTTCGGTCGCAACTGCACTCTTCCTGCGTTCCCCGAGCAAAGCCTTTCGCTGGCCATCTCGGGGTCTGATGGGCGAAAGCTTGCTATTGACATCCCCAACTAGGATAAAGCGAAGGGGCCAAAATTTCCTACCAAAATTTTAACATGCGGCGTTTAGTCCCTTACGCTTTACAGGGTATTGGGAAGCAAGGACCTTTAGAGGATATCGGGAAGCATAGACCTCAACAATCTCGGGGTATTGGGAGGCATGTGCTGAAAACTGGATTTTTTGTTTTTAAAATTTGTCTTTTTTTTTTCTTTACCAAAAGAAACTAGAACATCCAAAGATACTGCAAAGATTCAAACAATTTCTGCCTTTTTGAATAATAATTTTAAACCAAATGTAGATCGTCCAGGTTGGTTTATACCTGAGAAGGACTGTTTTTGTTGTTGTTGACTGACGTTTCGACAACCTTAGCGGTAGTCATCTTCAGAGTCAAATGAGGAGTACTTAACTGCACCTTCGTTAGTATTTGTCGTACATAAAGGACAAAGAACAACCCAAAGAACGACAAGATGCAGTTTACAAAATAAGCTGCTCCGACTGCCACGCCTCCTATATCGGGAAAACTGGCAGGAACTTAAAAATAAGACTTACTAAACACACACGAGTTATTGAGAAACAAGACAAAACTAATCACATTGCTGAACATCACCGAATCACAAAGCACAACATTGACTGGAACTCAGCAAAATGCATTACTTACAGTACTGACTATAGACAACGGCTTACATTAGAAAGTTAGTATACCAACTTGGAACAAAGCCCCATGAACAGATCACAGCAATTAGCGGCACTTTACAAACGACTTATTCACAATACAAACAAACGATCAACTAAAAACATTACAAAGTAAATGGTTTGAACCCGGGAGTATCATTATATGTTTGTAAATGATGATCGTCCAGGTTAATAAAGTCCTGAGAAGGACTGTTTTTGTTGTTGTTGACTGACGTTTCGACAACCTTAGGTAATCATCTTCGGTAGACAACCTTCGGTAGTCATCTTCAGAGTCATCTTCGCTAAGGTTGTCGAAACGTCAGTCAACAACAACAAAAACAGTCCTTCTCAGGACTTTATTAACCTGGACGATCATCATTTACAAACATAAAAACATTACAGTTCACACTAATTCACAATGACATTACACAATTGACACCCACACATTACAACTAAAAACATCGCACCTAAATCACACATCACAACTAAAAGTATTTCACTTCACACTAATTCACAAAGACAAAACACATTTCCTGTACACACAATACAATGACGTAAGAACCAGATAACAAATACGGCTAACCAGACGCTTACTCCTCATTTGACTCATTAAAAAACTTGGGAATTTTATTGAGGAATGATGTTGATTTATATCATGGTAAATGGTATAGTGAAGCAGTTTCTTTAGCTAAAAACGTAGATGTCGATGAAAAATGCCCAGAACAGCTGGCAGACAAGTTCACAATGAGAATCACCCATCTTCTAGCGCTTCAGATTATTACAAAAAGGCTCTCACTATTCCTTTTCTAGATCACTTAAACTCTGATCTTCAGGCAAGATTTGATTTTAGTCAAATCAACGTTTATAACGGCTTTAGCGTTGTTCCATCAAAAATGATTTCGCTAATTAACAGTTCCACCAAACAAAAAGAATTGGAAAGAGAATTTTCGTTTGTTTTCAGATTTTTACAAAGATGATCTTCCTAATCCCTAAGGATTAGATGCTGAATTGGAATTATGGGAAAAGTTTTGGACAACATATGAGGGATCATTACCGGACAGTGCAGCTTCCACACTTAAAGCTTTAGGGTTTGAAGGTTTTGAGAATATTAAGGCATGTCTACGGTTACTAGCCACTCTTCCAGTTACTTCTTGTGAGTGCGAACGCTCTATTTCAGCACTTCGCATGCTTAAAACTTACAACAGAAGTACGATGGTTGAAGAACGCTTAAATGTACTTGCACTAATGCGAATACATCGGAAACCGGCGATTATGGAAACCGGCGATTGCACATATGGAACATATGGAAACCGGCGATTAGAACTGAAATTGTAAAAATTTGACTCTTTAGGCTTGGTCATTATAGTTTTGACGGGAAGGAAAGAAAGAGCTTCTAGTTTTTTGTATAGTCATGATATCTCATAAATCTTAGTGACAAACGTGTCACTTAGCCTTAATTTTGTATATTAAATAATTTCACTAAGGGTAATCCTCTGAGCCTGCGTGAAACCATTTTGAAATTATTTGTATGATGTGTTGCATCATTTTAATGTCTATTCAAGTTTGAATTAGGAATATTGGATGTAGTATTTCATCTCTTTCTCGTAGCACTTTTTAAAAGAACATTGAAAACGTCAATTTATGTGTGTCATACACAGCACAATTGCTTTTGTATCTCTGTGAAAATGGTACAAATATACAACATCTTCTGTCACTAGACTTTTAAAATGACCACCACTAAGGTTGTCGAAACGTCAGTCAACATCAACACCAACAGTCCTTGTAAAGACTATACTAACCCGGGCGATCTCCATCTTAAAATATATATGATGCGCGTTTTGATGAAGTTACCTAACATACAAGAAATATTCACCTTTTGTAAGGTCTTAATTAATGCACATGCGTTTTGATCTGAGAATAACAACAACTTTGTCTAATTGTTTTACTTGTGAAGGAACAATTGACCTTATGAAAGACCAAATATTTAACTTCATCATTAACAGGGTTACTGACATTTGGAGTCATGCTCTCAAAGGAATTAATAAGTTAACTGTGTCACCAGTCAATAGCATATCTTTTCCTAAACAATACCTTTTTATAAAAGAAATCAGTTTGAGCTTGGAGTATCGTCAAAATTTATGGAAATTGAATGTTTAAGGCTGAAACACACTGGGCAGTCGCTTCAGTCGCGCGTCCTAAGCGAATTGATGCGCACGCGTCAGTCGCTTGAACGCTAGAAACACACATGCAGCGACCATCGCGACATTTACCGTGGCGTCTATTGAACATGGCGGTGATGTTAGTTTGTTACAGACACAGATATCACTTACACTTTTTATTTTGGCCTTTATTATAGCTACTAATATATGAATATTTACTCAGTACAAACTACTATGTGGAGAAAAGAGAACAAGCCAGTTAAAACACGCCAATATGATCATAGCACATTACGCGTATATCGTGGATAATCTTATTCTGTGCATTTAGGTTGTGCATTAGGGTTCCAGTTTGTAGCTCCTATTGTCCCTATTTGATAAGTCATATAAAAACTGATTGATTCCAGTGTGAATTCACTATATATTGCCTTCGTTTTCCAAGGTATAATCTATAAATTTCGTATGATGCTTATGACAGGAAACATGATATGCATTTAGGAAGTTAAAATGTATCTATTGGCCAATCAGTGTAAAGCGACTGAAGCGACCAAAGTCAAAAGTTCAACATGTCTACGCGACTAAGCTACTAGCTTAGTAACCACGCAAAGCGGTAGTTTTAGACGCGCGACTAAAGCGACTGCCTAGTGTGTTTCAGCCTTTAGGTCAGCGTTTCGACGTTTTCTTTAGCGGTGGTTTGTGTTACTTTTCTGTTTAGCTCGGCAAAATAACCATTAGATTCAGATTATGTGTGTGCATATTCTTGGGCCGAGGTTAAAGGATTAGAATGACAGGGATGATGTAGAAAACTGAGCAATTTTACATCTTTGAAATGTCCCACGTTGTCGCTTTTTCTAATCAAACTCCTGTTGCTTTGTTGCAAAGGTGTGAAAGGCGAGTATCTGGCGCCTTAAAACCAGACTGCTCTCTTTTTGTTTAAGGCTTCTCATTACGTTGAGGCACCTGGTGAGGGTGCCATTTCCTAGGCATGCTGATGAGCTCTGATATAGGGTGAAACAGTCCTTATAATTCATCATATTAACAATGTTGCGTTAGCAGAATTTTTAGCTAATGCGACCACGCCCATTTATTAAAATTTTGTTCGACCACGCCCTTCCGACTAAGGAATTGAAAATCCTGGATCCGCCCCTGGATGCATTTAAACAACTGGTCGCCCAAACGACTTTTTAAAAGTGTTTCAATCGGTTTTCTTTTGCCAGTCACGTGGAAATAGTTGCACAATGTATTGCAATATATGAAATTCGATATCGAACAAAGGTCAAAACTCCTAGACGCCGAACTTTTATATTGGAAAATCATACTTTGAATGAATTCATATTGTACCATTTTGTACAAAAATGATTGAATGCATTGTGATACAAGTATGTGTAGCGCTGTTATGCGTACTCATCCTACAGAAGATCTTAAAATGGCTGCTTGGTATTAATTTCAAGTCAAGGCAATCGACGATGCAAAATAAATTGCCTAATAGCAATACACGACCTCTTGGCATTAGTGAAGATTTTCTTTACACTTTGGGCACTGAAAAAGAAGGTTCGGGAAAAATATCTCTCACTCTTTTACTCACATCTTATGAAAGCCTTGCTCATCAACATGTCCACGACAGTGTGCTGTTGTTGATGAAGCGACAACCAATGCTTCGTGCAATTATTGCGAAAGATGAGAACTGTAGAAATTATTTTGATATAAAAGAAATTGGGGAAGTGATGGAAATGATGGACATCTCGACTTCGGAGGTGAAAGCTTCAAAATGGAAAGATGTTTGGTTTGAATACACGAAGAAACAGGCAAGGAATGGTCTTTTATGGCGGCTTGTTATCCTGCAGGAAGAACACAGCTTACATTCTGGAGAATATGTAAATACATTTATGTTCAACTTTAATCATGCGTGTATTGATGGCGTCTCTAGCGTAAAACTGTGTAATCAATTTCTTAATAACTTAAATAAGCTTGTGAACGATTCTTCTTATGTTGAAAAAGATATCGATAGTCTTCAGTTATCGCCATATTTTCACGATATGATCAATAAAACTCGAAAAGTCACTTTATATGTGAACGTATTATGGGTTGTGGCCTTCGACCAATATTAAAGTATCTTATGATTAGGCTTACCAAATGGTCCATCAGTAAAAAACCTGACAATCCATTATATTCTAGCAGTTTCCAATATCATGAAGATAAAGATTGTCAATTTAGTGTGAAAGTTTTTACAGTAAACGAGACTGAGAGAATAGTTGAAGCTTGCAGAAAGAATCACTGTACTGTAACTGGACTGTTGTTGGCCATTGCACAATACACGATTTGTGGTCTACTAAAGCCTCATCGGGCGAAAACGATAGAGTATAAGTTTGCTATTAATAGTCGACGCTTTTGCCCTAAACCACCCGAAGATTACATTGGTCTATTCGCGTACGTTTGCCAGGAATTTTATATGAGTTATATTGAACAAAACCCAACAAATTATTCAAATTCAATTTGGAATTTAGCCTGCGATACCAGTCAGCGAATACGAGAATGCATTGACAGCGAAAGTTTTATCTTGAATCACACTGTCGTAAGCAAGATTTTTGATTCAATGAACTTAATGAATCTTCTTACTGATGAGAAAGAGATGAACAAGTCCACTACAAATTTTGTGTCGAGTTTTGGTTCTTTTGACTTTGGCAATCAAGAAATCAAGAGGTTCAAACTAAAAAATTGTTTCATCAATAATCTGATCCACGGGCTGCATTGCTTTCACAACCACTACAATTACACAATCAATGGTAAAATGACGTGGCAGATTCTGTCAAGTAATAGCATTGATGACAAAAGTCATAACGAAACGTTTGCAAAACTTTGTTTTGATCAACTTCTTCAAATAACAAATGTTAACAGTAAAATGTAACAAGGATATTTTAAACAGTTTACAAGTAGTAAAATTCTCATGCGCTAAGATTCATGAAGTAAACTATGTCGCCCTTTTGAAATATAAATTGTACGCACCACGCAAAGATAGAGCATGAGTTTGCTAATACTAGTCGACGTTTTTGCCATAAACCATCCAAAGGTTATATTGGTCTATTCGCGTACGTTTGCCAGGAATTTTTACGAACTATATTTAACAAAACCCGAGAAATTATTCGAAGTGCGAGAGACTGAAATAGTTCAAATCGGGTGAATTTGTCAACCTCAGCAATTAAATTTTTATGTGAAATATTACACCGAAGCAGTTTGACACTACGACGGGTGTAGATAATAAGCGGACGCGGACGGCGGACGCAAAACGCGCAAATAAAATGCTTTTAGTCCGTTCGTAAAATACTCTTATTCTACGTCGAAAAATAAACATTGAAAAAGCTAAAATAAAAACGAAACTAAATAATGGTTTTAAGAGACATAGGTATAGGCAAACAGTGGAAACAGTTTCGTGCAGCTCTGTTTTTAATGATTGTACGAACGTCTGTTTGTACGAGCTTTATCTTTCAGGATATATTTTTTGACCTCATGCTGGCAGGCTGCACAAGAAGTAAACAATCCCATTTTGAGGCAACACTTGTGCATGTGCCTTATCGTATTAAACTTAGATTGAAGAATGAGCATGAGATATACCTTCGGGAATTAGGCATAATTTTCTAGACAAGAGAATCTATTTTGGTGTTGTCATATAGTTTAGTTATTAACAAAAATTATTTATTATTCTGCTGATCTCTTTTTTTTAAGTTTGACTTAAATGCAGTGCGAACGAAAAGTTCATAGAAAAGTTTTGGGTTCATTGCCTATTCATTTCTGCATAATTAAGTCTTTCAAAATTTAGCTGTAAATATCATCGTACAATCATTAAAAACAGAGCTGCACGAAACTGTTTCCACTGTTTGCCTATACCTATGTCTCTTAAAACCATTATTTAGTTTCGTTTTTATTTTAGCTTTTTCAATGTTTATTTTTCGACGTAGAATAAGAGTATTTTACGAACGGACTAAAAGCATTTTATTTGCGCGTTTTGCGTCCGCCGTCCGCGTCCGCTTTTTATCTACACCCCACTACGACAGCAAAAATTAAAAGGTATTTGCTATTGTTTCTTTATTTGCTCTAATATTATAAGGACGTAATACTTGACATACACTTTACATGGCAAAGTTATATGACAGAAGTGCGCAACCTACCAGTTTGGATGTTCTATTTACATGTTTTATATTGTTAAACTCTTTTCTAACTTTTTCTCTCGATTCATTTGCACATGGCCGTTTAAAAATACTCATCATGTCTATCATCGCCTTCTTCATTGCTTCATATTCACGTGTTTTCACACTGTGCTGTAACGTTAGTAATCTCAGCAAAAGTTGCAGATGTGCGTTCAAAACAGTTTGGTAGTTACGTTGAGACATAATTTGGCTGGAGACTTGTTGCAATTATATTATATAGTCAAAGTTTGGGTACTTGAGCTGGAAATAACCATTCATAATCTCCCGTTTCGATTATAATTGTAGCGTTCAGCGATGACATTTTGTGATTCTTATTCTAAGCAGTAAAAACAGCACCAACAACGACTTGGGATCAGGAGGAGAGGTTTTTTCATATCCAAGTTAAGCACCAGAGTTGGGCATAAAACGAGACAGCCCGGTTAGTTAGGTTAGCTCTGTTCACTGCAGTTTTATAAACAACTAATGAACTACAAGGATTTAATCTGTTTTGTCTTAAAATATTTATTTGCCATCCATGTAAATAAGCATTTCGTTGCATTTCTTTTCATGTGTTACGCGTTCACAATGCACCTTAACGTCTTTCAGACCTTGGTGACCTCAACTAATATCCCTTGCACAAGGGATGCAGTGAAAGCTGAATCGATCGCTTGAAACTGGTTTTACAGAATAATTTTGAGACCACAATGGATCGAATTTCACTTTGTACTTTGCAGAGACATCGTACTTCGTACTAGCTTTGCTTGTACTGCATTCTTGTCTTGACTCTGAATCTGAATCTGCATAATTTTCGATGGAACTTGTTAGAGAATTTCTATCATCATGGACTCGTTTTGCGGCAGCCATTTTGTGTTACATAATTATACGAAAAAACGAAAATCAATGTCATGCCCAGTTCCCGGCGCACTGCGGCTACAATACGTTATGTTTTCAATGTTATTCATCGAGTATTTGTTTCCATGCGATGAATAAAAATGCCAACAAACTTGTAAAAGCCTAAGCTTTAAAAAAACCGGGAGATTTAGTATCTTTGTCGGGAGGTCATGAAAAATGCAGCAAAAGCGGGAGTCTCCCGGCGAAACCGGGAGAATTGTCAGGTCTGGCACTAAAGAGTGAGCACATAAAATTTTCTGTTCCTTTTATCCTTGATTTATATTTAGAGCCATGATCATGTCAATCGCACTCCAGTTTCGGTATCAAAGGGCAGAAATATTTAATGAGTCTGCGATATAATTGTATGCGGCGTTCATAACATAAAAAGATCCGAGAGAACTTATACTGAATGCACAAATTTTTGTTTAATTTATCTCTTTTCTTTATATTTTGTGATCTTCGGTGCTGAAATGATAAAATTATACTCACTTAAGCAGCAGAAAAAGGATGGCGAATCGTCAAAAAGCAGTGGAACAAAACGGGCTTCCGCTGCTCAGCTGAGAATCACGAAAGGTCAGATTAATAATTCCACTTCATTCGTAGAATTTATTAACTGCAATACTGCATAAGGCTTGCCCTGTTTGTTAAACTACCGGGCTGTTAGTCTTACTTCACATAGGTCAGATTTCGTAAGCTTTCTACATTCTAACAAACTGTTTTAACTAAAATTTGATAAAATGAATAAAATCGGTATTTGTTTAGCGTTTAATGCTCATGACGTCAACAAGTTACGGCTATAATAATCACGTGACTGGACGATGATTTCTCACATATTTTATGTTGAAGTTTCAATAGATTGGTCATGGTAGTGAGCAAACAGTTGTCTCACTTTAACGTGGAACATTGCAACTTGGTGCTCTATATTTAATTACATTTCTTGCAGTAGATAGCTCAGTAATCCCAGTTGTCAGTAAATGCACTTGATCAGCTCTATTATGACAATCACATGCGTAATGAGATATACTTCTCAAAGAATAGTTTGGTGCACTCCCAACACTGTAGTTACCATTAATGTGACATTGTTACCATTATTTTCACATGGATAACAAACTGCATGGTTTTAACATGTACAAACACACAGAGATTTTCAATTGCTAGTTTAGAAATTAAAACTTTTTTCTGACAAGGTTTTAGGGTGTGCTGATTGTTGTTTAAGTTGTGAAGTGTGCAGACTTTATGCAGCTTGCCTTAGTCATGCAGAATATTTCAAACTTCACACTTCCCTTCCCTCCTTCCTCCTAAATTATTTATATTTTTAATTGAAAAAAGTGTCCCATAGGATCGCTATGAAGAAAGAAAAGTATTGCCATCAACTTATATAGCTAGCTCCCAATTTTTGTCTTGCTAAGCAAATTTGTCAGTTATCACTCACTGCAAAAACATTAGATTGTTAAAGAAACGAATCTTGACCATGCTCTGAAATTCACACTATAGGATCAAAACTTTCATGCAAGCAATGCTACTAGCTATGTCAAAATGTCACAATCAAACATCAGAAACTAGAGCATGTTGACAAATGGTTAGATTTTAATTGTGGTTGGTTTTAATATAATTTGCTTAACAACTAAAGATTTATTTGTAGTTGTACATGTATGTAGCACCATGTGTGTTTTTTGTGTATTGTATATTTTTATTAAGTTATTATCAGGATTATTGTGTTTGCTTGTTGTTTTATTTCTCTGAAATTTAAATAAGCAAAATAATAATGCATACGACAATAGCATCATGAAGGTTGGTAAAATAGTGTATATAAACTAAAACTACAAAAGTATGGTTATGATTTGAAAATATTGAAAGAGAATATTAAATGTGAAAGCGTTTGTTTAGATAAATGGTAAACATAATGCAATTTGTATATATAATATTTGTATAAGTACTGTACTCTAAGTAAATTATCACTTCTTATTATATGTAAACAACATTGACAGTGGAGTGCAAGGGCTATGCCTCCCTTCCCCCATTCCCTTAAATGATTTTGCGGCTGTTTAAAATTTTTAAAATTGTTCTTGAATACCCTATGTATTTACACCTAAATTAACCAACATGTTCCCTGTATGAATGGTCAGTTTATAATTTTTTTTACATTGAATGTTAATGTGGCAAGTGACTAACCCAATCATTGTGTGAGTATTTTTTTTGTATCGTGTTGGAACATTCCCAAACTCAAATTTTCATTATATGTTGTTGTGCAACTGATTTTCAGCAACAGATTTTGAAGCATACGTACAAATGTAAATCAATTTACATTGCTGTGTATCAAGTATATGTTATGAGAAGTACTTGTAAAGATGAAACACTATAATGTTTATGTACAACTCTCTTCTTTCTACTTTACAGATATCAATGATTTGAGTTTGCCAAAGACCTGTAAGATTCAGTTTCCAGATCCGGATGATTTATTAAATTTCAAGTTGCTGATAGCTCCTGATGAGGTTTGTAGCTGATAATGATCAAGTGCCGACTGCATCGTTTTTTGAAGTATTTTAATGATTATATTTATAATAAAACAAACAGGTATTTTAGAAGTAAAACCTATTTATATGTCTATTATGGATTATATACTACATAGAAATTTTGTGGAGTAAATAATTGTCAACTTAACAATAAATTGACCAATTTTTCAATATCTAGACAAATATGAGCTATAAACTAAACTTATATAACAATACATTTACTCAACAATATAAAATTTACATGCCTGTGACCCCAGAAATCTGTCCCACCAAATGTAAGCCCCCACCAGGCCAAATTTCCTAGGAAATTTGTTCACCCTAAAAAATGCACACTCTAACAAAATCAATTTTGTCCCGAAAATGGTGCAACTTTTTCCAAAACCAAGATCGCAGCAGATCTAAAAGTTATGTGGATCTATATGTGATTACTCACATAATATTAAACCAGTCAGAATAATTACCGCAGTGTAGCGATGGAATTATGCGTTGGCAACATGTTAATCTTGATGCGTTTAATAAACACATTCCGCGAACGCATTCCCCCTTTGTAAAACATTTAGCAAACACAAATCTGTCAATACTGCAAACAATTTCACCAAGAGCACAACATTTTATTTGGGGGTGATTTTCAGTGACACCAGACCAAAACTTCAAGACTTGTTGGTTGTCTCGTGTAATATAAAGGGGATCTTACTATGATGATATGAATTTACATTTATGTCCTGTGAAGCAGAAGCTATAATATACTGGGCATGAAATAAGTGCCAGTCAGCAAACAAAGTTCGCCATAAAGAGTATTTGTGTGGCGAAACTTTAGTATGAACATGGTTGTCTACACCGGCCTTCATGAATTCATGAATTCAGTTGCGCCAAAATGATTTCTTTGGAAATCAGCCAGACACAGCTGACTGTATGAATCAACATCCCCTCACCCCCAATTAACTCTCTAGCTACGGGCCTGTTGCTTGGAAATGATATAAATATTCATTAAGAGATTGTACATGTCTAGAAGCATAGAATTTGCGCGTATATTTTATTATTCAAAGAGTGGCATGCGTAGAACTTACGTAGGTGTAGATTGTACATGCCTGGAGATTGCTTAGAGATTGTATGCATGCCTAGAGATTATCTAGAGATTATACATGCGTAGAGATTACCTAGAGATTGAACATGTATAGAGAGTATCTAGAAATTGTACATGCTTAGAAATTACTTAGAAATTGTACATGCGTAGAAATTATCCAGAAATTGTACATGCGTAGAAATTATCCAGAAATTGTACATGCGTAGAAATTACTTAGAGATTGTACATACGTAGATTGGTATCTGGAGATTGTAGCTACATGCACAGGAATTATCTAAAAATGTACATGCGTAGAAATTATGTAAAGGGTGAGTTGACTAGAAACTTCTCTAAGAAATGTCTTTGCTATAAATGTATATCGTACGTATACATTTTCTTTAAAATAATCGGATGAATCGTGTACTGCGCATAATTTTAGTAAAATTATGCTAACAGTGCAGACTCTCAATTATCTTTTCTTCTACATTCAGGGCTTTTACAAGAATGGACGTTTTGATTTCAATTTCAAGGCATGTAACTACTTTTCTTATATTGATTTATAAAAAAACGGGTTGTCTATCTTTTTAACCTTTATAAATAAGTAGTTTAGCTGTTCCTGAATGTTTCTAAACCTGAACCGTATGTTTTCGTCTCAGTATCGTTGAAAGTAATGTATCAAATAGTATAAACCTTTGTAAATAGTTTGTTATTAAACAATGCTTTCTGGCATTGTCCAGTCTTCCGAATGATGAATATGATCAGGCTTACTGAACATTTTAGCCTAAACATATTGTTAAAACCGGGCTTTCATACGTTGACTACCTACTCTAAAAATAAAATGTAGAAAACAACATCCTAATTACATGATGCTACTTATTGTATGGTTATTGCATAAATGACCGCGCTGAGCAAATAAATGAATGCAAGTTTTTTGAACTTTTCTTAGCTTTTTAATTTTTAATTTTTCCTTCCAGTTGTGCATATTTTTTTGTTTCATATTAGAATGTCTTCAAGTTTCGATAATAAATCTAACGATATATTCTCTAATATAACGTCACGCTTGAATTTTGACTCACCCCATTTATACTCCCCCCTCCCATTTTGATGCGGCTATGTTTTTTGTCCCGTTGGTGACCATATTATCGCGGTTTCGCTGAATATCATAAGTAAGAGCAAATGAAACCAAAATTAAGATCTTATAATGTTTGGCAGGTTTATAATAACCACAAAACTAACGATGGTTTAACTATTATTGTTTAGGTTGGTCAAGGTTATCCTCATGACGCTCCAAAAGTGAAATGTGAGACAAAGGTCTTTTGAGTTTTTATGGTATTATATAAAGCATGAGTTTGTAAGCGTTCTTTATGCAACAGAGTTATAGTTTCGCCGTAAGAAATATAGCTAAAGCACAATTTGCAAATGGCATTAGCTTACCAATTAGTCACTATTACAAATTTTGCATTACCAGTTGAAAAGCTTATATGTTCATCATTGCTACAGTCAAACCTGTATATATCGGATTTCCTCGGGGAATGGACTAATGCCCGCCTAATGGCGCTGTCCGTTAAACCATTGAAATGAATATCACTGTCTCTGTAATATTGAAGCCGCTTGTCTCCAGTCTTTCAACGCAAAAAACACATGGCCGAACTAATTCATTCATTATAACACATCGTTCAAACTTCATTTTAGGGAAATAATTTATCTCTTAAGATCATTAACCAAGGCTAAACTTTCTGATTTCATAATGGTATGTCATTTGGAAATGTTGAAAGAAAGGTCCATTTCTCTGACAAAAAACGTACAGCCTTTGCGATTTTTTTTTGCACGGTCATGATGAAAAATTCGTTGTTTTTATTTGCAGATATGAATAAAAAAATACAATCTATTACACAATAATGTTAGAATTACTTTGTTGTTGTTTGACGTGAGTTTTGCTATACAATTTTGGCTGCTAAATGTGCATAACCGTGTTTTTAGAAATTTTCTGTCTTATTATAATTCGGTTAATAACGTTTGTTTCTCTGTAAATCGAAGAATTTTTTTGCTCAAAATCAAATTGTGTTGATGTTGAAGCTCTTTCAATTTCAGTCATAACCACACACTTTTAACTCAAAGCCAAACAGTTGACAAAAACATTCTTTTTGAATTCGTTTCGTACACTAGCTACAGCCAAAACACATCAAATGTCTTTGTTTTCTTCAATCTTCTTCACAACATACACGCGTGTCTGAAGGTAAAGTCCCGCAAAGTTTGGCTTCATCAAAACATTCTGAAGGTAGTGCTCCAGTTATATTCATTTCAATTCCGTTAAACAGACACAGTTTTCGTCACCAGGCCTCTCCAAGGAAATGACATAATTATGAAATAAACAATTTCAGTTTAATTTAAAACGTTAAACATTGAAAAGTGATCTGAAAAAATTGCGTTCGATGACCAAAAGCTTTAAATTAACGTAGTTGTAATAACTGACAAAAAAATTAATAGAGGATTTTGAAGGAAATATCCCCATAATCTTTGTGACGATACTTTCGTGACCAACGTTTTGTCTGTAAAAATATGAAGTATTGCGAAAATTTCTCTGTTGAACACAGATTTGGTTGTTATTCTTTGATAACTTTGTGTCCTTTAGAAAGGTGTCCGCTTGATAGATGTTTCATTAAAAATTGTATAAGATTAAATTCGGGATTTAAAGATGTGCCTACTAAAAACAAGATGTTTGCTTAATACAAGTTTGACTATATAAATGCCACTAATATTAGAATATGGTTTGTCGAATTGGGATGTGCTTATTAAAAATATGTCAATTTTCTGACAAGTTTTATGTATTGTTGAAATAAAAGCTCATTGTAAATTTTGGTGAATCAAAGAAACTGGTGTAATCGATAAAGATGTTTAACTGACACAAGTTTTTTAAAGTTACATGTCTTAGCCTATGGGATTTAAGGTTTTGGATGCCATTTCAAAAATGACGTTACACATGATGTCACGTAGCCTATCCAATATTTACTTTATCAACTGCATGGGAAGTGTTTGTGGTAAAACATTAACAATATAAAATAGAAATGTTAAAAAACTAATCGTATAAGGTAGGTACTTCTCAAACTTGCACGCGTTTCTAGAGCTTTTAGGAAACGAAAAAATATTTTTAGATTTTTGATATAATTCTCGTTTTTAAAGGTTTATCACCCAAATATTGATCTTGAGGGAAACATTTGCTTGAATATTCTGAGGTATGTTTTGAAATTTGTATATGTTCAGAGTCATGGAAAAACTTTTTTAATAGTTAGAGTAAATTTAAGAATATTTCAGGTATATTTAATTTGACGAAAACTTTATCTTCGTGAGCTTTTCGGGTCTAGCAATATGTGACGTTGCAAAAACACCTACATTAGATATGGCTTCATTTTACAGGTTTATGGTAAACAAAAATGTTGTTTCGCTAACTCTTCCTAAAAAACTTGCATTGTATAGTCTACATTGCTGCATGATTATATCGTTTGAGCGAATGATCAAACGGAACATGGAAAAAGTAAAAATTCTCCAATACTATTATACTGTGTTTATACCTATCTTCAAAAATTAAAGCAAACATAGAGATAAAAACTATGTTTTCAATGAATAATCCGCCAGCAAATATAATATATCTTCAGCAAGGCATGTTTAAGCTTTTAACTATGTATTATCTTGGTGTGAAAGGCTTCTTTCTAGTATTATTGTAAATGGCAACATTTATTCGGTCGTATTTGGACTTTATACTCTTCCAGTCCTTGCGCCCATTCGTACAAAATCTTAATACGCTCAAGAAAAACTCTACTTAGTTATCTGTCAAAAAATTTTTCATTTACTTACGAAATATTTGAATTAGCAACCGTCGCTATTATTACTTGCACTTACAAGTACTGGGGCGAAATAAGAACTTATGTTGCGTCCTACGAATCCGGCATCGTGTGAACAGAGTGCATTTTTCGTGTCGGATTGCTCAGCGGATCCGGTACAATACGAATCCGGTATCGTGTGAACAGGGCCTTAAAAACATCATGAAATCCCAGAGGTGCAGAACTGTCGAAACATTGTACTGTTTTGAATGCTAGCGATATTGTTGTGCATAACCACTTCAGTGAATTCTTAATTTATGCACGTTCTCCGTTTTGGGGGAACACTCTGTACAGGTTTTCTCCAAAAAAAAGTTAAAGTTATCCAACTTCAAGCCGCTTGTGTGCATTTATTCCTGAATAAACGATCGTAATTTATCAATCCCATATATACCAGTGTTTTAGGTTTTGAATGTCATGTTTGTGGCATATGGAAGAAAAATAAGCAAATGCGAGGGTGTTTAATGTTTGGTTGAAATTGCATGTTTTCAACTTATTGCGTCCGGTTGGACAGAAGAAAAACTAATTATTAATAAAGTTATCAATACAAACTTTTTTAATTTATTCAGTTTTATTTAAACATGGCATCACTCAAAATTTTACAGTTGCCTGAATAGTTTGTTATTCAGCGTTGTTTGTAAACTGACGTCTCAAAAACCATCTTCACTTTTACATTAACGATCGAATTCCCACAAACATTGATACTTTAGCTAAACCTAAGAAAATAGACATAGCTGCATAATTACGATGTGAAGTCCCAAACAAAGGGAGTAAGGCCTAGTTCAAACGTGAACTTTTTATGAACTGAGCGCATTTGAAACAAAAGATAATGAGAAATTTTATCTCATTTTCTTTTGTCTTTAATGTGTTCGGTGCATGTAAAGTTCGACGTTTGAAACAGGCCTAAGCAATGTTGGTTTTCAATAGAACTCTGCTCTTTTATAGCTAATTTTTCAAAACTACGAGCGTTTATTCAGTAATTTTTGCTTTGACTAGCGTATTGCAGTTGAATTACCTTTTTATTTGAAACACCCTATATAGAAGGAAGATCATAGATTTTTGACGGCTTTTCAATAAAATCAACGTCTTTCAGGGGAGATTCGTACATCAAATTTCTTTGCGAACTGTTATAAGAGTGACTGCGGAATTATTGGTCCACTTCTGAGTGTTTTCTGGATCGTTTTTCTATCAATAGTCGAATTCCGTCGGTAAATAAATTTGAGAAATAGTTTTTAGTTTTAGTTTTTAGTACCATAATTATATATTTTTCATGATGTTAAAATGAAGGGACAACAATATTTCACTTTTTTCCCTGGCGTGAAACATTGTGTTTATTTCAAGTCACGTGAATACGAATGAACCAATCACATATATCATACACAGCACCTATATAACAAGATCGTTTATGTAACTTGATTGACTAGTATACTAAAATACTTTGTACCAATATGCTTACGTCGTGCACGTTTAGTCCTGTTTTATAATATCAAAACATTTTTCAAAAATCCAATGAAACATGTTATGACGAGTTGTTCTTCTGCACATGTAAAAGCTAAGTACACTAATGAATCATTTAAAATGGATTGTTTAAACAAGTTCATTTTCAAGGCTTTGATATTTTACTGTTTTGTTTTTCGTTAGAGAAGATTGGAAACCTGTGTTAACCATCAATTCAATCATTTATGGTCTTCAATATCTTTTTCTAGTAAGTTTCATTACACTTAGTTTTTGTCACGTCGCTCATGTAATATGCTATTTGAAACACTCTTCACAATAAGTAACCTGGAATTTGAGCTACCACGAACGTATGCCCGTATTTAATATGCGTTTTTCCCATCACCTCGGGAGACTGCACAAATCACGCGTGACAAGAAGTCCATGAACCAATCAAATCTTTCTTGGTCGTTTTACCCGTGAATGTTAACTAATGGCACGTTAAATGAAACAATTTTGACGTACTACATTGAGATTGCATTGCTGTGAATTTTGGTGTGCTATTTCGCAACAATAACATAACACAGTAACATAACACTGCTGTCGAGTAACCCGAGTAAACGCCCGATAGGCGCCTTGAGGTCACAAACATTTTGTGATATTCACAGATGGAGCACGAAGTTTGTCAAATATGATTTGCAACATTGCTGACCTCTCTCTCTTCTATCGAATGAGCCATGTTTCTTATATAATTTGGCTTTAAATTTTTGTAGGAACCAAACCCTGACGATCCTCTTAACAAAGGTATGTTTGAGTTTTAAGTTTTTACAATATTTTTGCAAGTCAATTTCTTTCAACGAAGAAATATTTAGAGATACAGTGTTAGCAAGTATTTTCCCGTAATAAGAAAACTGCTATATGAAAATTATGGTACAAGTGGTTACCTTCCTTTCAAGTCTGATGTTTGCTCGATTGAAAACTTTTTCGATCCAGTTTTTAGCGGTGGTTAAGGTTGCCTTTTATTGCTCGTAAAAACGTTTTTCCTTTCAAAAATCCTAAGCAAATCGAGTCCATTGACGTACTTTACATGCATTCTTGAAAATTCTAAAATTCTCTAGTAAAATACATGCTTTTATTGGTCGTTGCCCGTCAGGCGATTCAAACACGGAAATTTTAAATTTCTGTCGCAAGATTTTTTGAAACTAGGCACACGTTTCATCTATTTACAATTTTGCCTTTCTCAAGCCAATCATACATGCATAAAAATTTGAAAAGTCTGCCCTTTAATTTTAACTTATTAACGATATCCTTAAGTACAAATTGTCATGATAGATTTACTACCCAAGCTCAGTTTATTAACCGTAAAACTCAGGTACAAATGCGTTTTTGAAAGCTTCAAAATGTCTTCTTGCTCATTTATTGGAGTTAGCGTTCCAGTTTATGTTATATTTTACTTCCCGAGTCAACCTATAATTCCCAGAGGCTTTATCAGAAAGAGGTGGGACACCGCAAGTAAAATTGACCGGCCTCTGCCATTTTTGTTCCAAAAGCCAGGAAATATGGAGCATTAAATGGTGGAATGACAAATTTTCTGTTGTATTTTCTTATTTATGAATAGATAGTGATTCCTATCCTTGGAATTCAGTGGTTTATAGATGTCGTAATAATCGAAAAGCATTTATTTAATGCAGTGGATTTAATTTATACGCCATTAGTACTGTTTTTGCCACAAGAGAGCGCGTAGGTTTCTATTCTCCATCCCTCTCATTGGCACTGTTATAAAGCAATATAAAATTGTTGTGAACATTTTTTATAATTTACTTCCTAAGCAAAAAATTGTTTTAATTTGCGTTTTTGGAATAAAGGTGGCCTTTAGATACCCATTTGACCTTTTTTACCCAATCACCATGATCATAATGAGATGTCCAGAGAACAATACGTGTTCCAACTCTTACAAATACAGGACCTTGATAATGTACATACCTTACTTTTAATTCAGAAAATCACCAGCTTTGTGTACTTAATACTCAAAACATGGCGTTTTATAACTTTTTTTATCATCTATAGATGCTGCCGAGGTTTTGCGATCTAACAGACGACTATTCGAACAGAACGTAGCAAAAGCAATGAGGGGAGGTTATGTTAATGGTACATACTTTGAAAGATGTTTAGGGAGATAAAACTGTAAACAATATACTGGGGAAGCAGAAAATGTGTGTAGAAATTGTTTTTCATGTTATGCGTATTACATTCTCGCATACTATACACCTTCTGTTAGCCTGCAATCTTTATATAAAGGGATTGTTGTAGAAAAGTATATATACATTGATTTCATCTTTTGACTTTCTCTAATCGAGACGTAATTTTGCTTGTTAAACGCATACCGTGCCTCTGCAATCTTTACAAAATTGTGTAGACAGGTTTGGTGTAGATAAATATATGTACATTATTTTCATTTTTCGATCATTTTTTTTGACGAAGCTTACAAATATTCAAAACGTATATTTTTTAATTCATAACCACTATTTTTAACAACTAGAAGAGCGCATGCGTTGAACGTTTGACACATGGTAGACATGCAAGTAGGTAGCAATTCTTCAACAACTGTACATAAAAAATGGTTAGAATACTCACATACCAATGTTAAACAGTCCAATGAAGTGTGAAACTCTGGAGCAAGGGAACATGAGGGATTAACAAGATGCATGGCAAAGTTCGATGAAAGTGAATGAGCATTTGAATTGAATTTCTGTAAATGTGTTTTATTTGATAGACTATTCCGAATTAATGAATAATTAAAATGTTCGAGAATGAATTACAAAACCTCTTAATTGTCAAGCTCTTGCGGATGAGTGAATAGAATTGAGAGTTTTTTAATGATATTTTCTCTATTCAAGTCAATTATTTTTTATTAACAAAAGCAATGTATTGTACAACAATGCAAACTCTGCATAAGGTTTGAGCTATGGTTAAGTTCAGGCATTTCTTTTGCAATGGGAAATCTTCAGCTGCTAATTGCTTTCAGCGACGCCGCCATGTTGAATCATAAACAAACATGGGTAGTAATAGTGATGGCAGTGCCTTTCTTTCAGAATTTTTGAATAAATGTTTATACAAGCGTAGAAGGACGTAATGCCTCAAGAACTTGTTGATACAGTAGAATCCCGCATTAACGACACCTCAACAAATAGTATGCTCACCCTATTGACCCCACATTATGAATTCTGAGTAACCCTTATGAATCAAACATTATAAAATAAGAATGCTTTTGACTTTAGCGATAGATCCAATTACGTTGAGCATGTATTTATCTTTAGTCTAGGTGGACCTGACCACATGACCTTTTAAGGATAAAACACCGTTATACGTATGTAGTCAAAAGGCTATCAACTTAAATCAAATCTCAACCAGAAAATGATTTCTTAATTTACTAAATAACAAGAATGGTCATCTTGGGCGTTAGAAATTGATAAATGGGGGCGTTGTATTCATATATAAATAGAAGATAGTTTTAAGATCTTTTGAATAACATTTTTTCAAATTTACCTGAAAGTTTGTTGTTTTCCTGATATGCATTTCGCCCAATTTGGGAAACAACGACTTCAAAATTTTCAATTTTAAGAAATAAATGATCAGTTTTAAAATATTTTATTCCATCATAATTTTCAGTTTACATAATCAAGGAATATGCAGCCCTATATGCCACTCATCAATTTAACAAGTGAAATTTCTGTCCTAAAATAGTAATAATGATTACAGTCTTAACAACCACAGGCGTACGGGAGCTTTAAGTTTTAAGAGGGTAGTGGTTTGCTTGCCCAAATGTGAAACCGATCTAAAAGCCATCGCAGTAATTTTTAATACCATGCAGATTTTGTATTATCAATTGGTCGCGTAAACTATTATCCACCGATTTGTAAGTGAAATTAAAGAACATATTGCCATACGAACTTCGTACATCACAAAAACATTTTGTGGATGTAATGTCTATACTCCATATTTAGTTTTATGAAGAAATGCATGACTTTATGCACAATTTTCCCTATTTACTCTACTCAACTATTTTGCCCAAGTTTTAAAAAGTTTTTAAACTTTAAAAGACAGTTGCACACCCTTACTCCCCATCTCGTACGTGTAACGAGCTAACAGATAGTTTATTACTTCATGTACACCATGTTGATAAATTTTATAGATGTAAATTATTATTTCCCAAACCAACTAGTGAGAAAGAAATTTTATTTAATGATAAAAATGGTACAACTTTTATAACTACAGCATACAAATATAAAAATGTTAACTAAAATCAATGTTTATAATATCCATGATAATTTTCAAATTACTAGCTTGAGAAAAAAAAGTGACAGTCAGGTGTAAAGACAACTTTCCCAATAACCTAGGCCAATATTTAAAGTGTGTTCGCGAGTTGAGGCAGATCGACTTCCTCGTATCGCAGTAATTGCTGACCTAATCAGTCCGAAAGACAGTTTACAACGCATCCACGTTGGCGTGATGCCATATTGCAGCTTTCTCTTTTGTGCCCGCAGATCAGCTAGCCGTTTATAAGCAATTGCCGTCTCTTTCCCCATACCACCTGATGTTGAAATGACCAGTGGTGTAAAAGCAGCATATTCAATCTCTCTTACTCGATCACCATATTCCCTTTTCTTAGCCATCTCATGCTAACGATAGAGTGCAGGTAGATTGGTGTTTTGGTAGCTCGACGCGTTTGGGTGAAATACCCTTATATCAAGAAATGCATCTTGCTGTCTAGACCAAAAACCTTTAGCACGAATATCTAGTCTCGCTTCTTCTTGTCTATTGGCTGTACGAGGTAATATCACTTCCCCAGATAGAGGTTGTAATTGTGGCTCTTTCTCAACTGTCGAGCAAACTTCTGCCATCCACTGCGCTGTTATATCTGGAACTTCATTATGTCTCACTATTGGTAAACCACCATGAGAACTTATCATCGCGTGATCGGTTGCAAAAGCCTTTCCACAAATGCATGGGGTATTTTTCAATTGCCATCCATAACGTAAACTTAATGCATCTCGAAATTCCCCTTTGTTCAAATTAAAGCCTTGATCTTGTAATGGAAGTACACTTAACCATAAGGGTAATTTTTGCGCATTTATTAGTAATTTATATGGACGCCATGCGTGACCGCGCGCTCGGCCCAATGTTTTTGCACCCCCTGCAATATGGCTGCGATAACCTTGAAAAGGTCTATTGTTTGTGTATTTTATGCTGAGTAAGCATAGAACAAAGTATAACATATCACTGTCAGTGTTGTACTGTAACTGTTGTTTTTTTGCTTATTTTATTATTAAAGGTAAATTTTGAAGGATGATTTTTAGCTAACGTCAAAAATGTGCTTTGTCATACCTGTAACATGCCAGTAATTTAAGAATGGCAACAAATGCATACGCAGCAGTTTAAAGGTACGTATAGTAGTACGTATTACTTTTTTTGAACTTTGGGATCACTGATCACTCTATAAACTTAATAAATCGTAAGATAAACTAATTTGAAGGAAAGCAAGGAAAAGTCGTACTCGTTATCGTATCGCACATTTTTCTAATTTAGAATTATCTAAGTTGATGATCATAGCGATAAATATTATGTTTATGTCAGTATTGCAATAGTTAGCACCTAATTTTTGCCTAATTTTCTACATGATTTTTACTTGTTTTTTGTTTCAATTTGCAATTGGGGGGTGTTACACTCCACACGCACCTCTAGTAGCAACGTCCCTGTGCGTGTATTACATTCGAAACATTCTAACATCGCAAACGACAACGATCGTGGTAACGCGATCGCAATTTATGGCGATAATTTTATGTTTGATAATCTTGTATTTTAGTTGTGTTCAGAGTAAGTAATTTATTTATACTTAGTTGTTCAAGATTTAAGTACTTTCAGGCCTATTTCAAACCTCGAAATTTACATGCGCCGAACGTATGAAATACAAATGAAAATGAGAAGAATTTCCTTATCTTTTGTTTTAAATGCATTCGGTTCATGTAAAGTTAGACGTTTGAAACGGGCCTCAGTTCTTTAATTGTTACTTATATTACTATCTTTTAGTTGGTTTCAGCAACAATTAAAATGTTTTGAATTGTTTATTTTGTAATTGCCACACATAGATACTGATTGTATTCTCAAGGCGAAAACTGTGTTAGGTTACCTAGGAAGTAATTCCGAAATTTAACCGAAAACGTACCAAATAAAAGTAAAAAGCCTGATTCATTTGAGCAGTGAATCGTCTGCTATAGAAAAAATTGACGTGACATCATGCCCTCGAGGAAGTGACATTGGAAATAAATTTGAAGACCATTTTTCCCATAAGTGACAATGGAGGAAAAGCATTCAATGGCATTTAAAATTATCATTTGAATAGGCGTCAGCACATGTGTTTCAAAGAAAATAAGGAACTATTTCCTTAATTACAAATTAGGTTGTTGACGTACATACATTTTTGCTTCAAATACAATGCTTAACATATGTGTTGTATTATGTATATCAGTCCCAACTGTGGAGTAGTTACCTTGCAAGTTTGGTTGCGCCATGTAAACATTTAGGATTTAAGATTGATTCTACGTCAAAAATAATTTAAAGGAAAATTATTCCAACCAAAATTTGTTTGAAGCAAAACTATTTCTGTACGTCAATTACTTAAATGGTAACTAAGGAGACAGTTTTTTTGTTTGCTCTGAAGCATTTTGCGAAGACTCCTGTTTAAATTATTGATTTTGAATTTTCAAACAATGCCACTCAATGCTTTGCTACCTTTGTCACTTCTTCAAACAAACGGCCTTTGTTTTTCTTTCGAATGTCATGCACTCCGTTGTGGGCATCGTAAGCGAAAGGGATCAGGCTTTTTAACTCTGAGTTTGTACTTGTTTGCAGGAATTTATCCAGTTTGCTGGAATTTTATGTGAAATAAGTATCTGATTGTATATGACAGTTTTGTTTACTGAAAATAGACAATTCAAACATTTTAAGTATTCGCTGAAACAGCTATAATTAACGATAATTAACGATAAATAAAGAACTGAAAGTTTTGTTTTGCTCAGCTGGTAAGTATGAATAAATTACTTTCGCTGTGTGTATATACGTGTATATAAGTCAAGCTTAAACTTCTCCACAAGTCGAATTTTCTGTGTAATACATTTCACAAAATGTCGAACTTTGTTTGTGCATTGGTAGCAGTTTTCTGTATTGGTGATATTGTTAAAGGGTAAGCTGTAATTTTTGCCAAAATAGAACTTGCAATATTTAGGTTTGTTAAACTTTCTCTCTCTCTCTCTCTCAGGTATTTCTATATACTTCTATTGCTTATCTTTTAAACTTCAAAAGGCTAATTTTCTGTTAGTTTGAAGATTGCAAATTAATGTAAGTGATTCAAGATTAGTAAGTTACTGTCGAGGAGCCCGCTCCTCAGCTGGTTCACTAACACACTTCGTTTTAAAACTTATATTTTACAAGCTAAACAAGCTACACGTACATCACTGGAGTATTTTTACGCTATCTATTACAGTTAATTATTTACATGTATTTATACTAAGAATGTTATATGCAGTGCGGTGTTTGAAATTAAATGAAGATATGATCTTCGCACTTTGCTGGACAATTTAAGCAATTGTCACCTGAAAAATTCAGGCTCATGAGCCCAACAATTGGCTCATTAGCCCAACAAAATTGACCTGCTCTCCACTGTGTGACTTCATAGCTCAGTTGGTTAGAGCACTGCACTGGCACCGCATAGGTCATGGGCTCGAATCCCGTTGAGTCACCTGGATTTTTCAGGTTCATGAGACAATTGCTTAAATTGTCCAGCTAAGTGCGAAAATCATATCTTCATGTATTTATACTATCGGTAATTACAACAAAACGTATGTCGAGCTTTTCTTTTAGGTCATTAGCAGTACTCACTCTTTCATTGCGTTTCAAGTTCTCACGCGTTGCAACAAAAAAGAAGAACTAACTAAACAAACAAAGAACTTACAAAACGCACTTAAAACAAAGAAATTTTAAAGGGAACTAACATTATTACAACAATTTTATTGCTAAGCTCAAAAAGAATGCAATATCCCACAGTTTCGATGAATTGACGTACAATTTTTAAAATCAATTAAAATCAAAATTGTGATTTAAATCAGTTTTTCTTCTCTGAAAATTTCAGTTGTGTCATTTTATTTAAGAATCACTTTGAAAACAGTCTTAATTCAATGATTGGACATAATGGTAAATACTCGTTACTAGCATCATATACTAGCAAGATAAATCTTATGCCAAAATGTGAAAGATTTCTCAATGACCTTTCCTTCTCTGAATTTATTGCTTATTTAGTGCAATGCTGGCAAATGCAAAAGAATACCATTCAAAAGATGATCTCTCCACAGTCAACTACAACATAAATCACACCTTGAAATATGTTCATGAAAATGTAACATTGAAGGCACAAATTGAAACTATGAAAGAACAAATAGCAACCCTTCAAATATATAAGAAAAAATTAGAAATACAAAAATATCACCTCCAAGTATTTAAGATAACCCTTAAATCGAAAATAAATGTGACGCAATCACAAACGTATAAATTAGTTAGGTTGCAGAAACAAATTGAGAAGACTGAATTTAAAATGGTTGATATTTCGTCAAAAATGAAAAAACTGGAAGCACAAATGGCAGCAATACAAATGGAGTTAAAAAGTCTTCACAAAAGCTTAAAAGCGCTTTATATAGAAAATAGACAGCTTACAGGAAGACACATAAGCGGTAAGAATGATTTTCAAAGAGGCAGAGAGACATTTAAGACATATATATTCTTTTCAGTGTATAATAACATTTACTTGATCATGACGTTGCCCTATTTTGAGTTCTTTAACCATAATGCAAAATTAACAGGAAAGGACTGTGCAGATCTGTACAAAAAAGGTGGAAGAGGAAATGGAGTCTATCAAATTGATCCTGATGGACAGGGATATTTCAATGTTTTCTGTGACATGACTTCGTCTAGTGGTGGTTGGACTGTGTTTCAACGACGTCAAGATGGAAGTGTAAACTTCTATCGCGGTTGGAAGGACTACAAACAAGGATTTGGTAATCTTAAAACTGAATTCTGGCTTGGTTTGGATAAAATACACCGACTAACGTCTGCAAGACGAAATAAACTTCGTATTGACATGGGAGACACATCGGAAAACAAAAAATATGCTGAATTTGATTATTTTGCTGTAAAGAGCGAAAAAGATAAATATAAACTGAGTCTCGGAAAATACTCAGGTAAGGCAATAAAGCTACGGGTACACCATTGATTTTGCACAACTGCTAAATGCATCAAATTTCACATCATTACCAGCACCAGCCTAGTGGCTAAGCGTTTAAAATATTTTTGACCACTATATTGAAAGAGTGTACTCTTACAAAAAAACAAAGACAATTTTTAGTATTTCACAAATAAAAAAGGAAATCACTTGTCCACTTGTTGATCCTTAATATCTATTCAAAGCATAAAAATCTCCATTGTGTATGATTATACACGGTCACGTAGGCTCCATTTAATTCTGTTTGATGAATTTCAATTTTAATGTACCACCAGGAATAAAGATTGAGTGACAGACAAGTTAGGTCTTGAACGTTGTCAGTAGTCACAATGTTGCTTGTATATTTTGTTGAAAATTAGTGTAATGGCTACAAACTAATTTAACAACAACATTCGAAAGGAATTTACTGATATAACTATTTCCTTAATTTTTTAGTAGCTGCACAAAAAAACTTAGTTATCTAAGTTGCTGAACTTTGATCAAATGAAGTTTGATTTATTGATTTCAGGGAGTCTTCCTTAAGGCAAGCCAAGGTTTGCTGTTAACAGGAACAGAACAATTTTAGAGAGCAATTTTATCATTTAAGTATTCAAGTTATTCAACCTTGCAATATTTTGAACGTATTTGATATGTCGACACTTAACATTACTAGTTTAGTTTCACTAGTTTAAGCTCAAAGTTTTACGGGATTTTATTTGTACAGTGTATAGTTAGACACTTGATCTAAATGTATGATACATATAGTTTTTGTTCCTCGTTGCCAATATTTTTGTCAAATGCAAAGCATGCATGTGACGTATGTAATAAAGAGAAAATTTATCTATCTTAACACAAACTATATGTATTGAGAGAGTTTTAACGAGTAAACGACGAATTAAATGAAGCTAAATAAATGCTAATCAAAAAATATTAATGAGCTTGCTAACTAATCAAAGACTTTAAAAGGCACTAAATAGTAGTAAAATATCTCAAACATTACCATTACTATTTAGGAACTGCTGGGGACTCATTATCTTACAATAAAGGGATGGCATTTTCGACAAAAGATTCAGATAATAATAGCTGCGCCATTCAACGCACTGGTGCTTGGTGGTATAGATCTTGTAGCTATTCTAACCTAAATGGACACTACTACCATGGCAAATATAATGGTCAGTGGAAAGGTGTGGTTTGGTATGCTTGGAAAGGAGCTTCGTATTCCTTGAAGTTCACTGAGATGAAAATTAAGCCTTAATGGATTTTCAACATAATTTTCTTTTTCATGACAATCACGCAATTTATGCAAGAAAAACGTCATGTGACATATTTTAGCTTTGTTGTTCAGATTTAATAAAAAACCTTTACGATTAACATGGGTGGTAAGAAAGTGAACAGATAAACTTTTAGTAGCCGTAAGAAAAGTAAGCACATTTTGAAGAATATTAGAAATAGTTGTAATTTTCAATGTTTTTGAAACGGGCCTTTTGTTTTTCTCAAAAAAGGCTTCTTAAGTCACTTTTCACAAAATGTATTAAAGAACTTAAGTGTAAATCTAGATTAGGCATGACTTAAAATATAAATACAGAAGGAACCTTTGATGTTTTTGTCCTCGCATATGTTGTGCCACGCATATCAGCTGCCATTGTTCCAGTCAGCTTGCCAGGGGTTTTTTTTGTTCCCAACGTTGAAAATGATCAAAGAGTCTCGAAGTCATTTTTCAGAAATCACGTTATGTAATTTAATGGTTAAAAACTACTGACAAACCCTAATCAACTGGCTGGAAAAATATGGCCAACGTGAGGACGCTTTGTACACTTGGTAGGACCTGCTGTATAATCATAATTAAGATGAACGGCATGAATAAATAGAGACAAGACATAACTTTGCTTCTCTTTAAATTCCAAAATACAGCATTCCAAATACAGCATTTTTATTTTCATTCCAAATACAGCATTTTTAATGTGAACACAGCAATTTTTACTCTTAATAACCCCGCTCTAGCCTTTAAAGACGAAACTGTACGTCCCAACTCTTTGTCTTTTTGTAGTTTTTAAAACAAAAAAGAAGTATTTAGTTTTTTTACAGTTTTTGTCAATAAAGGATGCCATTTAGGTAAAAGGGGTAGCTTCTGAACCACATTTGGCCGCACAAAATTAATGTGACATTTCATTATTTACCGAAAGTAAATGGTTTTCTAAATTATTTCACAAAAATCTATAGCATTTGCAAAACAAATAACACCAATAGATACTCAGCAGTATGTGCTTTCCGTCGATATAAATGTTAATTCTTAAAGTTTTATAAAATAAAACACATTACAGTTTCTGCTCTGTTACATCATTCATATACATTGTAAGAAATAATCACTTACCAAAGTTGATCAAAATTTGAGGATTTTATGTTCTAGTTAGTACAAAACCGAGACAGCCAAAATGAAATTCATTTACTTTTCTAAGGGTAGACGAAATTTCAGGTTTTCGAATATAGCAATATATCAAATTAACTTAAGCATGCATGCATTTATTTTCAGAGTAGTTGGATCTAACTATATGATATGGCCAGAAACAAAACAGCTGTATTCATGTGTTTTAAATGTACTACATGGGCATTGGCAATCAATAATTGGGAGTTGGGCTCATAGATATTGTTTGATATGAATTATAACATATTGATCTAAATCTTTATCAATCCCCCACGACCATTATAGTAAAAATATTTTGGTGTTTTATGTGCATTAAGTACAACAATCTTAAATACAAGAACGGGTGCCCTCTATCAAAACGCATTCTATTTGAAATCACAAGGAGATTTAACTGAGTACTTTTTATTTACATACAAACGATCTTTTAAAAAAATATTTTTAAAATATTTACTCATAAAACAACGTGGAGAATTAATAGTTTATTACCGACACACATGACATTTGCTAAAATTTGCATTTAATAGAGGAGTGCATTTGCGTTTTTTTGCTAAAGTAAATGGTTTGAACCCGGAAGGATCGTTGCATGTTTGTAAATGTCGATCGTCCAGGGTGGTAAAGTCCTGAGAAGGACTGTTTTTGTTGTTGTTGACTGACGTTTCGACAACCTTAGCGGTAATCATCTTCAGAGTCAAACTCTATGACTACATGACTACCGCTCAAACTATATGACTATATGACTACCGCTAAGGTTGTCGAAACGTCAGTCAACAACAACAAAAACAGTCCTTCTCAGGACTATACCAATCTGGACGATCATCATTTACAAACATGTTTTTGCTGAATCTTAAACCAATGGCTCAAGCGTTCATTTAACCGATTTTTTGTCCACGCTGGCTTAGTTATATTACTAACACGTAGGGTCTTGGGAAGCTATCGGTGTCCAGGTGTCTGGACACCCACTACTTTTGGAGCGTGGGTGCCTTTTATATGAGGGACACCCACAACTGTATTCCTTGCTTTAGCGTATGTAACATGATGAATGCCATATTTTTATATTTGTACCAAATACTAAAAATAATGAACGGATCCTTTACACGGTCATGAGGCAGTTATTATAAATTTGCTTTAGATAGGAACTGCCTACAATCGAGCTTTAATGAAAAATACATTATTTTACTCATCAATATCTTATATGTTACATGGCTTGGTTGCTAAGTACTCTTGATGAAATACAAATATGCCAGACAGTAATTTTACAAGCAATTGGAAGCAAACAAAGCAAAGTGTTATTTCTTTTAAAAAACTAAAATCAAACAAAAATGAAATTATAGAAGGAACAGAAATAACTTGTGATATTAATAACAATTTTATCAAAGTCAATCAAACATGGCAACACTAATAAAGAAATTTTGAAGAAATATATAGTCTTCTAGAGAAAGTTTTGCAATCATTTTCTGTAACTTATTTGTTGTGCATTTGATTTTACTGAACCTAAAGAGGTATGCGCTATATACATTTTAATTCTTAGTACATCATAGTTCAAATAAGAAAGAATAATAAAACTTCTATTAGACTTTCACAAGATTCGAAGATAGCCTTCGCGTTCATCATATTGTACTTTGTTTACTTTGAAGAAATCTCAAACTTAACTTTGAAAATTTATAAAACAAAGCTTTTTAATGTGATATATTTAAGGCAACATAAACAGAAACGTTCCAAATCAATTTAACAGTAGATGTAAAAGAGTTAACTCACTCATTCTTTGACAAATCATGATCGTTATCATTTCCTTGTACTTTGCTTACAATGTTTTCAAGTGGAGAAGTTTCTTCCCTGTATACCACATAAAGCAACTACCAGTCTTTAATTATGAACAAGAGCTAGTGAAAAGAAATACTTCATGACACATAGTGCATGGGATAAACAAGTTTAACAGTCGTTTAAATGAACATATAAGAAACAACAAGAAATATCGTTTAAAGCTTCATTTTCACTTATTTCTTCGTCTTCACTTGAGGTCACTTAAGCATAGAATAGGAAATGAACAGAAGGCCAACTTAGTGTCGGAGCCTTTGAAGTCAGTGTCCTCGCGCATGTCTCATTGCGCATGCTAGAAACTCGACGGCCGCCATTACTTTGGCATGTAATGGCTAAGGAATCTGTATATAACTGAATTGTGCGAGAACATTAATTTACACATTGTGAAAGTTTACTTTTGAAATATGAGTTCGAATTAACTTCAAAATACATTCTAAATACTGCCAATTTGTCTTTAAAATCGCGATTTTCTTACACAACTATGCCATTAACTGTATAATTTATAGTAATAAGCAAACGCAATACTTGCCAGAGTAATGGAAGATCTGACGTAATAGCATAAAAAATCTGGATACATTGCACCTCTGAGTTGGCCTTCTTTTCATTTCATATTCTGTGACGTAAGCTACAATACAAAGCAAACCAATAAAAAAAAAGTTATCTTCATAGTTATTATTACGTCTGTCTCCTTTATTTTCTAGCAGCAGTTTAATGAATGAGGACGGAAGAAAGTTTTTGAATTCTTTTATGGACATCTCGCACTATAATTATATGCAAGAAAACTTTGTGAAAAAAAATGCCGCCGTTGATTAGCATGCCATTCTCTGCAAAAAGCGTACCATAGTTGGTGCAGCATTTTACTGTGATGGAATTTTAAATTCATTTTTATTTTTAAGAAAAAGTTTGTTTTTACTTTGGGCATCATCGTTGGTTTCGATAAACAAAACACACTGTTTCCCTCGGGCTTACTCAAATATGTGGTAATAATGCAATTCTTAGTCCATAACACAGTAATAAAGAGTTACAAGTTGTTCAACCAACTACAGAAAAACTAATATGTATATTGTGAAGGGCCTCAAAGTCTTATAAAAGTAACAAAGTGTTTACTGATCAATCGGATGACTTCAAAGGTTGAATTGTTTAATTATACGTGTTTTGAATTTTATGAACAATAAAACAATCAAATAACCATATAGCTTAAATTTCTAATCTTCAATTTTTTCACACTATCCGTAACACTATACTGCATGATAATGACAAAAAACCCTGCACGATTTTTAAATTTTTAGCTAATTTCTTTTGTCTAAAAATGAACCCCGTTCACTATTCCGTTGAAAAATTATGGATATCTGAAGGAATTTATTTTTTGGTGAAAAAGAAAACGAAAACAAAAATACGAAAAAGTTTCTTATTTCTGACTGGGAAATTAGTCTTTGTTTTAAAAGGATGTACACTTAATTGCTGATAAGCTAATAAACAGTGCAAAGTGTGGCATTTTGAGTTAGTGAAAGGTGGCCTTTACGTACCTTTTGCTGCTTAGGGCCTGCACACATTTTAATCCGGCACTAATAAGATAATGATTTTCCAACTTTTTAGTTGGAAACCAAGTCACCAAGAACATTCAGAATACTTGCAGCGTCTATTTATTTTTAAGTACTTGTGTTCAGTGAGCCTTTTAGTCCTGTGTGAAGTTATGTTACACACAATTTTTTAAATGTTGTAAAGTTCATATCATGTAAGCGCTGAAAATATCAGGAAACAAAAGGAGTAATCCGAGAAAATTTTTGGTCCGTGAAACAGACAACATTTGCTAACGCGAACGCAAATCAAATGCCATAACACTGAGCTGCCTGAATTTTTGAATACCGTGCCAAAAGTGATTGCTGTGTAAAGGGACTTCTAAATAGTTGAAGAATCACATGCTAATGGCTTTGTTCATTTTATACCAAGCAAACAATTTTCTTTGACTTTGCTAATGGACATCTTTTGATGGTACTGTCTGGTACCAAAAATATGACATCACAATTTTTCCAATTCATGCAGATTGTTTTACAAAAAGCGTGTTTCAATGCTGTTTTTTTCATAAATTAGCAAGAGCTCTTTATCTAACATTATTCAAATCTCAACTAGATTATTGTAATGTCAGAAAGTGCAATAGTGCACAACTTAAAGCCACTGTCTGTAGTGACTGTACGTATTTGCCCGTAAACAGCACGTGCAATGCATAATTAGTTGACAAATTGGACATTTGACCTGAATGAATAAACAATGTGCCAAAATCTGTGATATATATGCGTCAATATACTCTTGTACAGCAGAAGCAAAGATATCTAGCACATATTTTAATTGAAAAAATGTCTGAAGAAATTGTTCTCATCACTGGAACATCATCCGGTATCGGATTGTCGACGGCTGCATTGCTCGCAAAGCAAACAAATAATAAATTTAAAGTGTACGCATCAATGATGGATACAGACGAAAAGAATCAATTGTTGGAGAAAACTGCTGGTTGTAGCAATGTTGTTGTAATAGAACTGGATGTTCGTTCAGAACATTCTGTGAATGCTGCAGTAAAAGAAATTTTAGAAAATGAAGGACGAATTGACGTTCTAGGTAAGATGTCTTACTCAATTATATGGCTATCTCTTTACATAAATTTCATTTTTGGTAATGTTTTAGACGGGCACATATGTTATATTTTATTTTTGAACATAGGTAACAACTCGCTAGCAAGCTGCGTCGCAGCGGTTATAAAATATAATTTGTATCTTAAATAGTCCAGCAGTAGCATTATGATATATTTGAGGTGTAATTATGTTTGCGTCAAAACTAGAATATTTTGCATGATTAATTGTCACTTACGTCTCAACAAGATTACAAGAAGACGAGAGCAACGAATAACGCGAGGTAGTTGCTTCTCAAACATGAACTATATATTAATATTTCTCATAATATTTGAAGTTTGTGTCATGATAAAATAGGTTGTTGATAGCATCTAAATGGCAATATTAATACATTGTTTTAGATTCGTAGTTTTTCTTGTGCCATTACAAGTAATCAACATGGTCAGCATATTATGCAGTAAAACCTTAGTATTTATGTTGTAAATCGTCCATCTCCTAAAACTTGTAAAGTGTTTGAAAAAGTCACTCGTGCATTTTTTTCCCAATTTGCACTCGAATACATTTGATTACCTTTAGTAACGACTTTGAATATCGTTTAATAAGAGATGGGAATGAATAAATACTGCTGTAAATTGCTAGAGTTATGATTGTAAAAAATACATGCATTACATACAGTTGAACCACGCCTTTTCGGAGGTACCATGATTGTATGGTCTCGATAATATGGTAAATTTTTTGTCCCGGCATAATAATGATGTATTTGAGAAAAATACCCAGTTAATTAATGCGACCAGCACACCAGTAATACGGTCAACAGCCAAAATTCCCGACCTAAATGTAGTTTATACTGCAAATGGAAATTAAAAATGTGTTGTCGGACGGAAATGAAATGTAGTTGTGATAGAGATACCTGTTATAGAAAAGTTATACAACCTAACTGAACCATGCTACCGATCATACAACTCATATACTATACTCATTCCACATTGTTAATGAAATTTTTTTATTGTGAGACGTTCATAATTTTTCACTAAAAAAGATTACGTCAATATAAAATTGGACACCCAAGCTATTCCAAAATCCCCAAGCTATTCCTTTGTTTATAAATCTAAAGTGACTTGAACACATAATTGGCTAAATATGTTGCCTAGAAAAGAAAGCAATTTGCCCTTCCTAATAAGAAGCAGTTGGTTCAAAACATTATGAAAATGAATCTAATATAAAGCAGGGAATTTAGAAAACCTCAAAAACGTTCACAGGAATGGTTTTGCATAGTTTTGGTTTCCTTTTTTCACCGATAATTCCCTCTAGGACTACCACACTCTGCCGTTCAACTTGATGTTTTTTTCCCGTTACTGCTTAATTAAATCCTCTTTTCCCTATTTCCTTTGCTGCTTTGTACGTCACAATCCTGCACGAGAGTCTACTTTGAACTTAATTTGTTGAATGTACATTTGAGAAAAACGATACAAGTGCGATGGCAACATGAGATGTGCTCGATTGCCAAAAGAGTAGGCGAACATGAGATGTGCTCGATTACGAAAAGAGCAGGCGAACATAGACAGTTGACCATTTGGTGAAATAGTTTCATGAAACATACAGTTTTATGCAACACTTCGGGCAAAATCTAAACTTTTTTTGCAATAAGCAGCACGATACACCCATATTCAAAGGCTTTGGCCATCTTCCATGCTTTATGCAATTTACTGCCTTTCCTGACTTTATTATATGGTCGTGTTTTTCGATTAAAAAAAATAAAAACTGCACTTTTGCTAAACAAATTTCCGGCAAAAATTTCTTCATAAAAATTTTGCTGCAAACAAAATTTCGTCATGTTTTTCTTTGAATTGGCTGGTGTTTTTTTAACTTTTACTGCTTTTCAGCCAATCAGGTTAAAATATTTACAGTGCAGTTACAGCTTTTCAGCATGGTGCAATCACACATTTTCACAGTGCAATTACGGATAAACTGTATTACAACCAACCAATCACAGTCGAGAAATATCTCAAAATAAACTATTACTCATGTAATAAAAGATAATTGTTTCGTTTGTACGATTTTTGTTATGCAATCGTTGAGAGGCATGAAAAACAAACTTGTTTGCCAGTACGCTCACTCGTTAGTTTATAATCCTCCATTTGCTCATGAAAATCGTACACACTCACCACCCCTAAAATATTCCATTTATATCTGTCTTAAAAATTGCATATTAATGAATTATTGCTATAGTGAATATAGCTCATTCTGTTTAGTGAACAATGCCGGTATTCAATGGATGGGACCTCTTGAATGTCAATCTTGGCAAAGCATTGAAGACCTATATAATACAAATGTCTTTGGCTTATTGCGCATGGCTCGAGCTGTTATTCCTTCCATGAAGAAACATAAGAAAGGTCGAATCGTAAATATCAGCTCACTCGCAGGATTAATTGCTACTCCATTCTTAACTGTGTATTCTTCATCAAAATATGCTATAGAAGGAATAACGGATTCCCTGGCACCTGAGCTTTCAGCATTCAACGTTCAGTAAGTAAAGATTTGCTTTTTTGTCCTGACGTTTATTAATTCAGACTAGTTCGTGTTAAGAAGTTGTTGTTATTTTTTACATTAAATGAATGAAACATGGTTAAATGTGGGGAAAACCGTTTCTATTTTATAATTAACATAAACTATCATGTGACAAATTTTTGTTAAAATATTCCTAATTTTTTTGCAAATATTTGGAATTGCTCTTTAAAAGGCTGAACTCCATACTGTCGTTTTTGGTTGATACCAGTAATCCATTAAGTGCTCATTTGCTTAAGAGTTTACTTTATCTTCCTTATCAATCACTAGAATTCTAAGTCAAAATTAAATCACAGAGTGTATAATGCAACAATGTATTAAAAGCGCTTTTCGTGTTTTAGCTAATCAGTGCTGGCACGAAATAGACTTGCTTATTGATCGACACATGAACTTAAATACTTTATAGCATATTTATCAAGTTTTTTTTGTGATGTGTACTGAAAATACTGTTGACAGCAATATAACTGTGAATATATTTTTTCGCGCTCAACTATTAAATTTTCAGTAGTATAGTTTCACAACTAATGTCGAGAAACATTTGACCAATACTGTGCGTTATTGCATGTCATGCACGTTTTACGATATATTCGTAAGTTTTATTTTTGAATCAAATGTTAGTAGCAACCCCACCACTTTGTAACAATCCCAAAAGTGTCAATCACGTGAAATGCACGCCATCCAAAACAACAAAATAAAAAAAACAACTGTTCATCACACTCCCGACGTTGAGCATATTGATGAATTTATTTCCACGAGTTTTTCTATTTGACTGTCGCAATAGGTCTCCAATCACGACTGCAATTTTTCGTTGTCGGGTTTTCATAGAGTTTGCGTCTTTAGACTCAATTCCACTTGTGGTTTTGGGAACCACGGTATTTGCTGGAGACACATTCAACTCAAGTGGTATCAGTTGTTGTATTGGATGACGGAGTTCTGATGATCGAGCCTTTGTATGCCTCGAGCAATACAAGCTAGACCCGGCCCACTTTTATAAGAGCCCGGGCCTAAGCTGGGATGCTGTCCTCAAGCACACAGGGGTGGAGATCTAGTTGCTCACCGATATAGACAAGCATCTCTTCATTGATAAGGGCCTGCGCGGCGGCATCAGTATGCCAGCAGGCACTTTGCCAAGGCCAAGAACCCCAATGTGCCGGATTACGATCCAAGGAAGCCCCCAAGTTGGATCCAGTACTACGACGCCAACAACCTGTAAAGCTGGGCGATATCGCAGTCGCTGACGACAAGCGCCTTCGAGTGGGCCGAACAAGAGGCGGCGAAGGCGGCTTTGAACCAGCGTGCAGACGCGGAGAAGGGCTACATTCTCGATCTGGAGTACCCAGAAGAGCTGCATGACGAGCACAACGCGTACCTGTTAGCGCCGGAGCGCTCGAAGGTCGAAAACACGTGGAAGTCGGATTACCAGCACAATCTCCTATAACTGTTGTTATAGCGCCCGAAGGCCGAAAAGCAGTTGTATGAGGACGAAAAGTAGGTCCCCAAACCACGCAAGCGCAAGCCCGCCAAGTCTCACAAGGTCAAAAGCTGGTCCCCAATCTTCGAGGTCTTCGAGGTCAACCTCTACAAGCTGCTAAACAACAGCGTCTTCGGCAAGACGATGGAGAACCTCCGAAAGCGTGTTGATGTGAAGCTACTCCGGCCAAGCGAGACTGAGAGACTCCGCAAACTTATTGCCAAGCCGACATTCAATTAGCATATTATCTTTGATGATGCGGGGAACCTCGCGGCCGTCCACATGCATAAAAGCAGTTTGCTTCTCAACCGGGCTGTCTTCATGGGCATGTGCATTCTCGACCTCTCGAAGCACTTGATGTACGACTGGTCGTCGTACTCTCAAGGCGCAGTACGGGTCGTCAGCAGAGCTCCTCTACACCGATACCGAGAGTTTTGTGTTGAAGATCCAGACCGAGGATGTGTACGCCGACATGAGGCGCAACGCCGGTCAATACGACACCAGGAACTATCCCAAAGACCATCCGCTGTTCAGCTCAGCCAACAAGAAGGTGCTAGGAAAAATGAAGGACGAGTGCGCTGGGGTGCCTATCACTGAGTTTGTGGGACTCAGGCCCAAGATGTACTCTATACTGAAAGCCGATGGTCTGGAGGAGCGCAAAGCCAAGGGTGTTAAAAAGGCTGTCGTGGAACAGCATATCCGTTATGCCCAGTGCAACGAGGCTTTGCGGGCATAACGGATATGCAGAAGGCATTTCTTATTTCTTCGCCTAAAATACGGGCACAGGGAAGCCGGTGCCGCAGGTGAAGAAATAAGAAACGCCTTCGTAGAAGAGCTGCTCCTCGGCCAAGCGCAAGGTAGTACCTGACAGTGAAAGCTTCGCTTTCATAAAAGCGTGACAGGACCCCATCGACTAAGCCGGCGGTGTTTCAGTCCGATAGGGCACTGTAGTGTTTTATATTTCATTTATGTGTATTTTACCACTGCCTAGATAGTACAAGTTAACTCCTTTTTATATATTTTAGCTTTATAACAATTAACATAACTAATAACGTAAATCCTATTAAATTAACATAAATTAATAAACATAACATTCCCTCCGGCACAATTCTAATAGCTCTTTAGCTAACTTGTAGTGTTATTTTCCTAAAAGTTCGGGATTGATCACAATCTATCAAAATAAACTATATTTCATCAATTAAACGTTTTGGTTTCGTGCGATTATGCAGAGGATACCGGCGAGTGTTTGATACTTGTTCACTGTCATTACAACTACCGGGCTCTTTGGTTATCTTGTCAGGTAAGGTCTGTACCTGCGGTAGAGGCGTGGTTTTCAAGGTCGTTGTGGTACTTACAGTTGGTTCTTTGAATATCTCTTGGTTGAGATGTTTAGACGCTGTATTTTCATCGAGCACCAGACCTTTTTGTGTCTCCAAGTTGGAGGATATTTCTCAGCATCTTGTTTTGTCTTACCATCTGGAACTGTTGATCCTGCCAGACTTCGTAATTGATCAATATGTCGTTTCCACAACACATCGTCCACCAACACTCGATACGTAACTGGGCTTAACTTCATTTGAATTACTCCCTGTATCCAACGATCTCTTCTTGCTCTATAATCTTTTACCATCACTGGATCTCCAATTTCTAACTTACGCTTTGTCAATTTCGGTAATTGATGTGATTTCTTATCCATTTTATTTGGCAGACTGGGATGCAATGTATTTAATCTTGTTCTAAGTCGTCGACCCATAAGAATTTCTGCAGGTGTACATCCAGTTGCTGTATGGGGTGTGGTACGATATCCTAACAAAAATCTTGCTAATTTCTCTCCAGTAGATCCTTCTCCATTCTTACGAATCTTCATGGAGTCTTTAAATGTTCTCACTGCTCTTTCCGCTTCCCCATTTGAAGCAGGGTGGTACGGTGAAGATAAGTGCATTTGAATTCCATTGCCTTTTAGAAAATCTTTCATTTCTTGCGCAACAAATTGTGGACCATTGTCCGACACCATCTCTTCCGGTAGACCATGAACTGACAATAAAGATCTTAATGCTTGTATTGTTGCCGCAGCGGTGGTTGATGACATAGATATAACCTCCATCCATTTAGACTTAGCATCTACCACTATTAAATACATGCCACCCTCGACTGGACCTGCAAAGTCGACATGAATTCTTTGCCATGGACGTACAGGCCAAATCCATGGATTATTTACTTTAAGTGGAGATTTACAGCGATTAAATTGACAACTGGTGCAATCTCTCACAGTCTGTTCAATGTCTTGGTCTAATGTTGACCACCACACATGTAAACGTGCTAAAGATTTCATCCGCACCATTCCTGGATGATTTATATGCAACTCCGACAACACCACTCCTTGATATTTGGTTAGAATTACCACTCGGGTTCCTCTCAATAGGCATCCTTCTTCTACAGTAAACTCGTCTTGCTTTGTAACGAAATATTGTAGTTCCTCTGGTAACTTTCCTTCTGGCCAACCATGTAACAGATAGTATACTACACGAGACAATACTGAATCTTTTTGCGTAGCTTCTCTAATCATACTTACTGAAACAGGTGACCGCTTCAGTTGAACGCTGTTTACTGCCGCTGCCTCTTCCTCCCATTCGTCCGGTTCTTCAACACTTTTCCTAGGTAACCGGGACAACGCATCAACATTCGCATTGTTCTTTGAAGTTCGGTATTCAATATCATACTGATATGCACCCAGTTGAATCGCCCATCTCTGCAAGCGGGAGACTGCCAAGAAAGGAACACCCCGTTTAGGTCCCAGTATCATAGTAAGCGGCTTATTATCTGTGATTAAACAAAAACGTCTTCCATACACATACTGATGAAACTTCTTCAATCCAAAAATAATTGCAAGGGCCTCTTTCTCGATCATAGAATAGTTTTGCTCACTAGAAGAAAGTGTTCTCGAGGCATAAGCTATTGGTTGTTCTTCTCCTTCGTTCGATACATTTGATAGAACAGCACCTATTCCACACGATAAAGGAATCTGTCGCTAATTTCACGGGTTTCTTGGGGTCGTAATGTGTTAATACTGGTGCCGTTTCCAATAGGACCTTTAAAGTCTCAAAGGATTTCTGACATTCTTCCGACCATTTCCAAGTAACTTCTTGTGACAGTAAACAATTCAGAGGATTAACCAACTTTGCCATATTTGGAATAAACTTACGATAATAGTTCACTAGCCCCAGAAATGACTTCAATTCTGTTGGATTTTCCGGAGTTGGTACCTCCCTTATAGCTTGAACTTTACGAGGCGATTGATGGATTCCTTGTCGATCCACGACAAATGCGAAATATTCCACTGAAGGCTGCATAAAAACGCACTTTGATTTCTTCAATTTGATTCCCATATTTTGAAGATGTTTCAGTGCTCTCTCAAGATTCCGCAAATGTTCTTCATCATTTTTACCCGTAACTATCAAATCATCAAGTATACCTCCTACTCCCTGCAAAC